TGCGCTGGAGCTGCGGAGCACGAAACGCTCCAGTGAACGAGAGGCACTTCTGGATGCTGACAGAACAGTGTTGGCACTGCAAGCCATGTATTCATATATGTGCTGTGTTGTGAAAATATGAAAAATAGCTCAGCAATGGCATAATTATGGGCAATTTGCTTAATTGCTTGCTAATTGTTGCTTGCTTTATTATGAAACAAGAGTGCTCTAAATGTAACACTGGATGGTTTGCATCCAAAATGTGTCAAATTCAGAACTGGCTTTTCATTAAGGCTTCAGCTACGTGGCTTTAAAATTCAAGCACTCTATATTCGGTGGTTTAAGGTTGTTTTCTCTTTTTTAATCAGTTTGGAATTCTCTTTGCACAGTTGCTATGCCCCTAAACCTGAATTGGTAGGGTACAGTCTGGTGGTTTCTGAACTTCTAATGAATCTGAGTACTTTGCTAATGAATGCAAATGTCTTTTGAGCATTGCTACACATGTAGATAAAGGCTGAGATCTTTTAAGGCTCCTCCAGGAGTTCATATTCTTGATTGTCCAACCCTTAGAGAAACACATCTTCCTTTCAACACATGCATTTGGATTTTCTCCTAAGGGATATGTACAATTCTGAAAGTTTGGCCTTTTGGAAAAGCTACTCTCTTCCTTTTCAACCAGTGAATTCAGATATGAGCAGGAGGTTAGACCAAAAGTCCTTTCCAGCCTAATCTCTGGGATTCCAGGGTTCAAGTGATGACTTTCATGGCAGAGTGAGGAAAGAACCAGCCACTCTTGATGTTCTTTTAGTAGTACATCTCTTTTAAAGCTGGAGGGAAAGGGTAGAAAGTGTGTGTTTGTACATCAAGTATGTGCTTCAGTGATCTTACAGGTCTTTTCCAACCAGAATGATTCCATAACTCTAACTTTTTAATGTTCTGAGACTGCTGGTAACAGACTCGTACCAACAACCTGTCTCCCTTTGTGAATTTTCTATGAGAAACAGTCTTAAAACTGGAACATGATATTAAGCAGGAAATGCCAAAGTGTTGTGCAACATTTTGTAGACTGAGAAGGAGAGTAGCACTGTCAAGCTCTTCAGTTTTCTTCTCTGAAAAGCAAAGAGGATAATCAACATTTTTATTTACTACCTCCAAAATCCCACACGGACTTTATAACCATAGGAAGTGCCTGGTCAAAACAAACAAGGGAAAAAAAAGGTGTTTTTTGTAGCTGTTTTGTTTGAAGGATAGCTATCTGGCAAGGCTGGAATTCCACTTTTTCCTGAGTGAAGGTAAATATTCTTACTTGAAAACTGTTTTGACCTATAAATGATGAGACTGTGGAACAATGAAAAAAGTCTTTTAACTGTTGTGCTTTTAGTTACATTTGACAGTTCTGATCTAAACACTTCATAAAAGCTGACAGACACTTTCTTTAAAAATGTTCTTAGTTCTGCAGACAATTAAAAAGAAAAATTCATTCCTAAAACAACCTGGAGTTCAAATCAAAGTGGTAAACTCACATGTGCATGAGTGTGATCTATTATATGAATTAAAAATTCTCTTTTCTATTATTTGTATGCCATGTTTGAAGAGTCTCCATGTGGTATGGAAAAAAATATCTAGAATTGAGGGTTTATAACTGAGTGAAGTAAGAAATTAGTTAGACTGCTAAGAGTTCAATGGAATGTACTCTTTATTCATAATATGTGGGGAATATGCAAACTCCTATTTCCATTTATAAACCTGTCATGTCTTATGTGAGAAGATGGTACCAGACACTGAATTTCACTTGCAAGAACCATCCTTTCTTCTGAAAATATTCAGAGACAGACGGAACTTTCTCTTCCTTGATGGGTAGAGGCAGGTGTCAGAGGTGTTTCCTTCCCCTGATTACTTATCAGACTATGCAGAATAATCACCTGCACTACACTTTGGAAGGAGAGAGAAAAGCTCAGAAAATTTGATTGTCACCCACATTTAGAGTGGCTTGCAAAGAAACAAAATAGAAGGAAGCTTAAAGAGTAGCAGCCAGAAGGTGCCGTGGTCAATTTGCAGAGCCTCTGATAAACGACCACTTTTACACTGAACTTCACATCCCCCAGGAGTGTGGCTGGAATGATATGTAAGGAAAATAGAGAAGGAGTTTGACAAAAAGGAGATTGATTTCATGGCCTGGAAGAGCAGGCAAAAAAAGGATAATGCTGGGTGAATATTCATGCAGAAATTTTCCTACAGTTTGTTCTAGCTTGAGTTCTTTTCCAAGAGTCGTTGCTTTGTGGGTGGGGAAAGTTGGTTGTTTGTTTGACTTAGAAAAGGGTTAAGGAAAACTTTTCCATAGTATAAACCATAAGCACTGATGAAAAGCACATTCTGACAACAATATTGACTCAAGATTGAAAGAAAGATTATGGCTTCTACAAAAGATGTTCTAAACAGTTCTGCATTGGCAGACTTTTGTTTAAAAAACCACCAACTTAATACCAAAATAATTTGTATTCATATTTTAGGATTGTGTCCAGGATAGTTATAAAGTTTAGGGATTTTCATTCTTGTTTTTTATCTTTTGTTTTGTTTTTTTAAATAAAACTAAAACTCAGATTAAAATATCTCTTTATTTACAGAATAACAAAGACTGTAATTTTAGCAATACATTATTCTTGACATAGTAATGCATTCCAAATCTCCAGGTAGTCTGGCAACACTTGGCACAAAATTATTGTCCTGATCTTTGGAATGGTGTGGGGACCATTTTATACGTGACCTTTTTTCTTCCACAGTTGCCTTGGCCAATGTTAAATGTTAATTTTTTATTGCCAAATCCTTGCTTTTGCTGTTTTGTGTGCTCTCTTACTGTAGTTTGAGAAAAAAAGAAGTGTTCTAACAGCTTGCTGTAAAGAGCTCGAAACAAATAAGTATTATTTCCAAATAAATAATCGTGTTTCACATTTTAACTGAATTAATAGCATTTTAAGGGGTTTTTAATTAATTAATGTTTTAATTACTGCGAAAAAGATCAGTTTCTCTACAAAATGGGGATAACACACTCTGTCAAGGTTGTACCTGATTTCAGTGAATTGCCTTCATCAGAATAGCAGCAAAGCTGGATAATTAAAGAGCTTAAAAGACTTGTATATACTTAAATTTATATCTCTAATAGCAGATAGTAGGACACAGAAAGATTAGACTAATCTACCACTAGAAACTTTTATTTTTTGCAGTAACTATTGCCTCCACTGAATTATTTCCATATTTATGTCTCCTACTGCCCATCAAAACTGGATTAGTGTTTCAACAGCAAGGTGCCAAAGCTTTGTCAGGATTAAACTGAAAAATACTCAGGCAAAATGACTGAGGACATATTGAAATGGCAGCAATACGCCAAAATAACATTTATAAACAATCACTCCTCTAACTGACACGTGCAGCATCCTGAAGGAGAAATAATCAAGAGTAGAACATTCATGATATAACAAGCAACCAGCTGTTTTCTTAAACGTGGTAGATTTAAAAAATAAAAGTATCCTGTTTTGGACAGCAACATTATATATTTCAATGCCTGAAGGAAAACTTAATTCCTTTGTATGGAGATGTAACATGGAAATAAGTGTTTGTGCTTTGCAGCTTTACACAGATTTCAACATGCAAAATATTTGTTAAAACAGAAAGGCAGCATCTGTTTAAACATAAAGCTCAGAGGGTGGGAGGCTCCTACTCAGCACTCATTGCTATAAGTAATTTTAGTGGCATTCTTTCTCCAGTGCTTATGAGGCAGAATCTTATTTTAAATGCTATTTTCATTAAAACAGGTATTAAAAATATGAATGTATCTTTCATGGGAAAGTTTTGTGACGAAAACACAAAGAAATATCCAATCAATATTTTTCTGCACTTCTCATGTATTTAACCATGTACACGGGTTTGAAATATTAAAACTATTTTGAGGAATCATTCATAGAAATTTAATTCCATTAGTTTTTAAATTACCTACCATGCTTAAGCCACAATTTAAATGAAAGAAATCAAGAATATTTATGTACTACAAATGAATGTCTTTTAGATTTAGTAGTTTACTTTGCCTTTGACCAAATTAAAATTTCTGCCATCATCTAGTAGATGCACAAACCTTACATCTGCTAAAAAATCTGGTTTGATTCCTAGCGCGCTATAGAGGTTACATCTTCCTTTGTTAGTACTCTTTGAGTTTTCAAAGTGTCCAGTATCGAATGCATGGAGAAATCAATTCTCTTTAAAATATCTGTTTGCTCTTTAATTCTTTTAGCCCTTGAGCGCATCTTTGAGGCCAATGAACCATCTTTGGCTAGTGCCCCATTTAGGGTTTTTTGCCTTAAGCAAAGGAAAACAATAAAAAATTCAGTTTTAAGAGAATATTCAAGAAATTCAAAATTCAATATTCAAAATTCTTTTTTTTCAAGCAGTTCTATGCAAATAGAACTAGAGTAATGGCATTAAATTATTATAACATTTTTAGCTTTATTGCAGAAATGACAATTGAAAGGAGTGAAAATATTATTTTAGGTGACTTGTCCAGAAGACAGGGTCAAGTTGTGCCAGAGGAGGTTTAGATTGGGAAAAAATTTCTTCACTGAAGGGGTCCTCAAGCATTGGCAGAGTCTGCTCAGGGAGGTGGTGAATTCACCATCCCTGGGAGTGTTAAAAGACGTGTGGATGTGGCACTTGGGGTGTTTTTCAGTGGTGAATGGGGCAGTGATGGGTTCATGGTTTAACTCACTGATCTTAGAAGAGTTTTCCAGCCTGAGCAGTTGTGTGATTCCAGGCAATTGAGTGTTTAAGGGCTTATTATAAAGCTTTAATGATGGTGTGAACTGCGACAACACCCTGGGCCCCAATATCTGAACCTTCGCGGAAGCTCTGCACCTGGAGGCCTTCCCAAACTGTGGCCATCATTGCAGGACAGGGATTGCTCTGTTGACCTTGACTCCCTCTGTGCCTCCATCCTCACACCCCTGACAATGTCTTGTGTTTTTCCACCCTCCCAGCTATCGAAGTGAACCTGCAGAAAGCTCTGGCCGAAGCCTCTGAGAACTGCACGCAGGAGTGCCTCATCCTCGGCCACTCCGACAACTGCTGGATGCCGCCGGCCCTGACGCAGTTCCAGCAGCCCAACCCCTCCTTGCCATCCTTCGGCTTCCAGCAAGGCTGGGGCCGAGGAGCCAGACCCGAGGGACGTCACACCCTTGGGAGGCCCCTGCCAAAGGACGACAGTGACAAGGGCCAGGGAGGGCCCAGGCCCCAGTTCTACAACACCTGCGAAAGACATTGCGCCAGCGAGGATCCCGTCAAGGTCATCCCGCTGGCAAACTTCGCCGCGTCCCACCCGGCGCCAGGGGCGGCCAGCAGCGCCACGTTTATACACGAGCACCAGCTGTAAATGCATATCTGACAAATCCCTCACTTCAGGCTTTAAGTGTGACTGTGGATAGTCACGGCCTAACGCCGCTCCTCAGGCACCTACAAACTCCTTGGGCCTGTGAATATTTGTGTATATAGAATCCTAAATCTGAAACGGAAAATCTAAATCCTTTGGACCTGGTTGAAAGGTGTTTACCGTAGCTCTTGGTAAAATCCAGGAAAAGGGGAAGAGAACCCACAACCCAGAAACAATCAGAATTAAAACAAAATCCTGTTCGCTTTCTTACATGGGTGCAAATATCATGCCATGCAGTGCAAATATCTGCCAGCACTTCTTCCTCCCTTTGAAGGCAATTCCTTAGTACGGTTTGGGGAATATTGCAGTCTGAAAATAGCTTACTCAAATTTTTCGTTGTTGTTATAATTTATAGTATATTCATAGATTTCATCTTCCATTTGCTTAGCATTAGAGATCAAGTGAGCAATTTCTCATTTGATTACTTGATATAATAGAATTAATAAGATCCTAAAATCTAATTCTTCAGAAGGATGGTATATCTTCCCACCAAAATTTATCTTTTATCTAATTAAGAAGGAGAATGTAGGTGACAACTGATTTTTATTTTAATTTTTATTGGCTCAATGTACAGGTATTTATTCTCTGAATAAATGCAAGAATGGAAAGCTCTCAGCTAGGCTTTTCTGTGTGAAATAGACGACGTGACAATGAGAGGACATCCAAGATCAAAAATGGAAACAAATAACCAACAACTTTATCTTTTTTTTTAATTTCCAAGATTTTCCTTTCTATAATTCAAAGAACAATGTTATATTTATAATATTTTTCAAGCCATAAGTCTATTTCTCTTTTTTTTTTTTTTTTTTTTTTTTCCGTCTTGCAGAGCTTGCTTTGGCTACTGTTCCTGTTAGTTGAAAATTACATGGGCACTGCTGAAAACAGTAGGAAGTGGGGTAGTTTCTTTTTGGCTGATGTGATGTCGTGGCTGCAAGCTACCAGTGTTTTAAAGAATATTTAAAAGTGACGTGTAGGGCTTTTTTTACAGCTATATTCACCTATTGTAAGTATCCAGTAAAAGCTGAACTGTAATATTAGTTACTTCATCACAAACCTGTTATATTAAGAAGTACTTGTCATTGTGGATTAGTTGTTAGAGAATGACTGATAGTGCTCAGCAAAGAAAGAAGGATCTAGGTAATGGAATGGATAAATATAAACAAACCCTAATCATATTATTTGAAAAAGTCTCAAGGTGATTCTCCTTAAAGAGGAAGGATTTTTTTCAATGTTCTGTGTACCGGAGAACGTATTCTCTTGGTAAATTCCACAGTGGATGAAAAGGAGATTCCTTTCTTAGATGATAAAACCATATTTTCCTTCTAGTATTTCCTTCTAGTACTTTGTTGGCCTTTAGCCATTTCATCATTTGCAGTATGTACATACCAAGAATTTTTTCCTTTAAGAAAATACATAACTTTTTTTTTGTTTTATTGCTACATTAAGTGAGACAATCGAAGCTGTATGGAGGGGAAAAACAGTGTGTGAATATTTCCTATGGGTAGAACTCTATGTAGGTTTCATAATATAACTTAAATCTGTAATTTATAAACAAAACTGTGTGTAAAAATGCTGTAATATTAGCTGCTTGTAAAATTTACAGAAGTTCAAGTTGTTGAGGGTTTCCAATGAATGCTAAAAGAGCTTCTCTTATGTGCCCAGCAGGTATAAGTAGCTTTATATATTGCTGTCCCCACTGTAAATCTATTCAAACCACATTTAGATTTTTTGTGCAAAATGAAAAAAAAAAAAAAACAAAAAAAGAAACCAAAAAAAGCTTCACTTTTAACCTACTGATAGGGTTTAATTAATGGACGTCAGATTATCTAATGATGTACTTCTATTGCTTTCTTTTTTTTTTTTTTTTTTTTTTCTTTAAGTAGTTTCAATAACGTTTAGAAAAGATGTGGCACACTGGCTTCCAGTTGCATGTAAATCCTGGAAAAAAATACTAATCCTTTGGGTACTGACACATCTCATTTCCAGTTCTGGGACAATTGAAAAATTGACAAATTAATTCATACCTAATGTATACAAAGCCCTTTGTTGTTTGCTTTGGAGATGTCAGGAGGAGAGTATTTGGCAGTTCTTTTCAGGGATATGCAAAAAATGAGTTTATCTGTAGTTTACACAGATTTACCAAACATACTAATTCTGCAAATTTAGAATAATGCTGACAGTAATTCCTCCTATTGTAAGCAGAGATATTTAGTTTTTATTGCAGATGCTTCTATACCAAATGTTTATGGAATTGGCAGCTCCATTGCAAAACTCTTTTTTTTTCTTCTTTTTTGCCTGCAACAATTCTTTTGGGAATGAAAATTGTAACTGAAATTTCCTGGCAAAGAATTAATTCTTACAATTTTAGGATTTTTATAGGAAAAGGTGAAAGATTCAGAATTAGTGGGATTTTTTTCATTGGCAGGGGAAAATACCCCAACAAACTTCACTTAATTTAAATATTTAGGGGTTACTTTAGTTTTTTCTCTGAAGGTAGAGAAGCATTTAACCATCCTCCTTTCTTTGAAAACAATCAAACAAAACACCCAAACAAAACAACAATAAAAAAATTACTTAAGAAACATTATAAAGATGAGTCTGATTATAAGTATTAAACATTATATCGATGAGAATGTTTGATATTCTAAAATTCAGTCAACAAGATACAGAACAATCAATTGTAAATACACATAGTATCAGGAGATAAATCATTCCCTCATTTTTATACATTATATCTCTAATATATAAAAATATACATTTGAGGCAACATTTTTCTGAGTAGCATGTCAGTATCCAGAGGAGTAATGTTGCTAGAGACTTGTTACACATCTTGCCATATATATAAATAATTTATCTAGTACATAGACTGTATATTTTTGTGTATTCTTTTTTTTTTTCCTTTTTTAGTCATTTAACTTATTTTATCTTACTTGTGTGAATTTGTGGAGAAAGCAATTCTATATACAATATACAGTAAAATGCTAGTTACATGATTAGATTTGTTCCATACGGTGTAACAATAAAGGAAAACCTTTGCCTTCAAAGTGATGTGTCACACAGTCGAGTCTAGATTATTTCACCCTCCAAACTCACGCTTGTTGCACTCCTGAGCATTGCAAAAAAGGATTATTTCCATATTGCAAGGCAGTCAACGCTAAAATAAAACAAACAAACAAAACCCATTAAAAGAAAGAACCGAGTCGAACCGTTTGAAGTAAGAGATGGCGTTTCTTTGTTTTCCTGAGCTCTACTCTGAGGTGTAACTTAATTCTAAGGAATAATTGAGCGTGTCTGCGTGGCAAGCCAGAGGCTGAGGTCGTTTAGCTAATTAGCATGGCCCGTGCTAATGACACCTGAGGCTTTATGGATGAGCACAGCCTCCGTTCTGTGGTGCTGGAGCTCTTGGCCGGAGCAGAGCGGTCCCTTTGTATCCCTGACCCCGCTGGATCTGTTCGGGATCTGCGTCAGAGAAGGGAAATTCTGCTCTGCCCTACCCTGAGCAAGCTGTAACCCCTGGGGAGCTCCACCAGCCCAAACCCACCAGCACCACCCTGCTTCCAGCACGGTCCAAAGGCAGAGCTCAAATATTTCCACTGGTCGTGGCTGATCAGCCCAAGGGTGTTCGAGTCAAGCTGAGCTTTTAATGTTGGGAAATTTACGCTTAGCTTTATTTGATTTCTCATGTTTTCCTTTTGCAGGTTGAATTCCGACCCTTAATCAATGATAAGCAATTACATGATCACACTGCAGTTTACTACCCTGATTTAGCTGGGTAAATAAACGGGAAGGAATTGGTTTGTGCAGACACAAAGTAAAGTTGAAGGCAAAGATTTTATTTGGTATGCATAGGAAAATTGTGTATAACTTATGTTATCCCTAGTGAAGAAAGAGATTGACGATTTCTTGTAAATATTTGAGTTTGTATTTCTGGGAAATCTCCCTGCTCTGTGGCATACTACAGGATCTGAGAGTGAGCAGTGTATGTCTGTGTATTGAAACAGCCCTAACCACACTCTACAAAGAATGCAGCTGGACACCCATATTCCACAGTCCAGCAGCATTTAAAGTCCAGTAAATTTGCAGTAGTTCTATTTCAGGTTTCTGTACAGCATGTTGTCTTGTTAATTACAATGATTATTAATAAACTACATCCACAAAAGCAGTTTTCTCCTTTGCACTGTGTTCTTTGGGTTTCTGAAGCAGAACTTACTTAAAAGGATTCCCCCAGCTATGTTTTTCTCCCATTTTTCAGCTTTCCAAATGTCCTTTTACTGGGAAGCCCCAAACTGTCAGAAAGTCAAGAAAATTTAACTTTATTTGCAGTTGCTCCATGCACCTGAGTAGCAGGCCTCTGGTAAGCAGTAAAAATATTCACACATGATGTGTACAACAACTGAGCTTTTCATGATCAGAAATATCTTCCATTTCTGTGTCATTTCTCTTTGTACCAAGCTGCCTTCTTGTACTATGCCTCTGATACATTTACTTATAGAAAATCATTATGAGCTGGAGGCAGGAGCATTTATGGTGTTTGCTTTGTTAGAAAATAAGCTATTTCTAATTAAGAAAACATGGTTAATGAGTTGTTGTTGAGCTAAAGGGATTATCTTCTCACCATGAATGTGACATAAAGAAATAACCATCAAAAGAGGAACTAATGAAACAACATTTTATGCATTTTTCTATCTTATTTTAGTCCATATTTAAAGAGCAGCTCTTGTTGGCCTGACACTAAGGCAGTAATATCTTATTCTTTGATGCAGTTATAGCTTTTATGTCTGCAGGACCCTTTCAAGCAGGAAAATGTTATTTATTTTGGCATCAGAACTGTGCAGGAGTACAGCCCCCTATAGCCAATAACTGCTGACACATCAGTTGTTGGGCTAGATAATGTATTGAACCTCTAAATTAAGAAAATGGATGGAAATTTATGGAGCTGAAGG